ACACACGCACGCGCACACACACACACGCACACACGCACGCATGCAAGCGCATACACACACACACACACACACACACACACACACACACACATCTGCTTCATTAACACACCTGAGCTGTGATGTGTCTGCTATTCTTCAGCGCTGCATTATTGTCTATTATATTATATGTGTGCTGAATGCTTGATTCTGATTGGCCGATGAGCATTCTAAGGTGTGCTGCTATTTTCAGATAAACACACACGATTTTTTTAACGATTTTTGCAGCTCAAACCTTAACTTAAACCTTAACTTGATTTGGGATTCTTCATTCATTCATTTTCCTTTGGTTTAGTCCCTTTATTCATCAGGGGTCACCACAGCGGAATGAACCACCAACTTGTCTAGCATGTGTTTTACACCGTGGATGTCCTTCCAGCTGCAACACAGTACTGGGAAACACCCATACACACTCATTCACACACAGACTCATACAATACGACTAGTTTAGTTGATCAGTTCCCCTTTAGCGCATGTGTTTGGACTGTGGGGGAAAACGGAGCACTCGGAGGAAACCCACACCAACACGGGGAGAACATGCAAACTCCACACAGAAACACCAACTGACCCAGCCGAGACTCAAACCAGAGACCCTCTTGCTGTGAGGCCACAGAACCATCATGCCACCCAGAGTATAATATTTTTAATAATATGCAACACATAGTCTTGTCGTCTAACACAAAATCTGATCGTCAAATTTGACAATAAAAATCGTAGAATTAAACTAAACTAACGGCAAACCTCAGAACTCTCATCAGCCGATTAGAATTGAGCATTTAACAGCAGCATAGTATGATAACGATAACATGTAATGCATAATAATATAATGAAAATTCGAATTGTGTCATCAAATTCGACAATACAAATCAGCCAATCAGAACTGAACATTCAGCAGAGCCATAGTATAATAATATTATTCATTCATTCATTTATTTTCTTTCCAGCTTAGTCCCTTTATTAATCTTAGATCGCCATAGTGGAATGACTCGCCAACTTATCCAGCATATGTTTTACACAGTGAATGCCCTTCCAGCATAATATAATAAAAATCTTAATTGTGTCGTTATATTTGACCATACGAATTGTCAAATTTGAAAATAATGGCACAAGTTTGAATGCTTATTAGCCAATCAGAATTGAGCATTCAACAGAGCCATAGTATAATCATATTAATAACATATAGTGCATAATAATTTATTGAAAACATTGTGCCGTCAAATTCGAAAATTCGAACTGTCGAATTTGAAAATAATGACAGGCGTCAGAAGGCTCATCAGCCAATCAGAATAAAGCATTTAGCAGAGCCATGGTATGATAACAATAATATATAATGCATATAAATATAATGAAAATCCTAATTGTGTCATCAGATTCCCCAATACGAAGTCAAATTTAAAAATAACAGCACACTATGGAACGCTCATTAGCCAATCAGAATTGAGCATTCAACAGATCCATAGTATCATAATATTAATAATATATAATGCATAATAATTCAATGAAAAAATTGTGTCATCAAAATCAAAAATGCGAACTGTTGAATTTGAAAATGACGGCACACTTCAGAAGGCTACTCAGCCAATCAGAATCAAGCATTCAGCAGAGCCATGGTATAATAACAATAACATATAATGCATAATAATATAATGAAAGTCTCAATTGTGTCGTCAAATTTGACAATACGAATTGTCAAATTTAAAAATTATGGCAAATGCTCATTAGCCAATCAGAATCGAGCATTCAACAGAGCCATAGTATAATAACATTATTAACTAATAATGAAGAATATTTTTATGAAAAAATTGTGCCATCAAATTTGAAAATGCGAACTGTTGAATTTGAAAATGACAGCACGTGTCAGAAGGCTCATCAGCCAATCAGAATCAAGCATTCAGCAGAGCCAAGGTATAATAACAATAATATATAATGCATAATAATATAATGAAAATCCTAATTTTGTCGTCAAATTTGACAATACGAATTTGAAAATAACGGCACACTATGAAACGCTCATTAGCCAATCAGAATTGAGCTTTCAACAGATCCATAGTATCATAATATTAATAATATATAATGCATAATAATTCAATGAAAACAAATTTTAATGTCGTTAAATTCGAAAATGTGAACTTTCGAATTTAAAAACACTATACACATCAGAATGCTCGTCAGCCAATCAGAATCAAGCATTCAACAGAGCCATGGTATAATGACAATATTATATCATGCGTAATAATATAATGAAAAAAAATGATAGAAAAGTGTAAAGAGGAAAGATCCTTTCAGTCTCAGTGTAGCGTAATGAAAGAGTTTTATTGCAGAAGTGTGTGATTGATCAGAGGAATCCAGCGTCTATAATGAACAGAGAGAGAAAGGCCAGTGTGTGTGTGTGTGTGTGTCAGCATTGACCAGCTCTGATTCAGACATTACTCATAATAATAACACGGCAAACCATGCACAGACACACACTCATTTCACAGTGAGACATGAGCCTGAAGATGAACCTGCGTGGAATATAGCGGAGAATCTGCTGGAATGTTTAATTCTTCATAATCTGAGGATGATGATGATGATGATGATGATGATGATGAAGATTCAACAGAGGAAAAAAAAAACCTGCCGCTGCTGTTCCTCACATCACAATCATCACTCTGCAGACACACACACAATGGGTTTAGCTCTTTTGTTGAAGCGCACACACACACACACACACACACACAAGCACGTACACACATACACACACACACACACACACACACACACACATAGAAAGAGAGGAGCACAATGAAACTCAATTTCCTGTCATAAACAATCCGTTATCAGACAAAACACTCATTACAGACTGACAGAGAGAGAGAGAGAGAGAGAGAGAGAAATGTTCTAGATGACACACATACAAATGAAGAAACACACACACAAACACACTTATATGCATACATAACATATTGCACCTACATGTACAGATACAAACAAAACACATACACACATAAACAAGTACACACACACAAGTTCAAAGACAATATGTGCACACGCAATTAAAAGAAAACACATGCACACACTTGTGAACAGACAGACACACACAGACACAATTAAATACAATATGCACACATGCAAATAAAGAAAATACATTCATATGTACACAAAACACGGCCACTTTATTAGGTACACCTGTCCAACTGATTGTTAAGGCAAATGTCTTATCAGCCAATCACATGGCAGCAGCTCACTGCATGTAGACATGGTCAAGAGGATCTGCTGCAGTTCAGAGCGAGCATCAGAATGGGGGAGAAAGGGGATTTAAGAGACTTTGATCGTGGCATGGTTGTTGCTGCCAGACGGGCTGCTCTGAGTATTTCAGAAACTGCTGATCTACTGGGATTTTCATGCACAACCATCTCTAGGGTTTACAGAGAATGCTCCGACAAAGAGGAAATATCCAGTGAGCGGCAGTTCTCAAATAAGCATTTGTTACAACCGAGCTCTGCAGAAGAGCATCTCTGAACACACAACACGTCCAACCTTGAGGCGGATGGGCTACAGCAGCAGAAGAGCACACCGGGTGCCGCTCCTGTCAGCTAAGAACAGGAAACTGAGGCTACAATTCACACAGACTCACCAAAACTGGACAATAGAAGATTGGAGAAACGTTGCTGCTCTGATGAGTCTCCATTTCTGCTGACACATTCAGATGCTCGGCTCACAATTTGGCCTCAACAACATGAAAGCATGGATCATCCTGCCTTGTATCAGCGGTTCAGGCTGGTGGTGTAATGGCCATGCCATGAAGCTCAATCATCTCAGACTGGTTTCTTGAACATGACGATGAGTTCACTGTACTCAAATGGCCTCCACAGTCACCAGAGCTCAATCCAATAGAGCAGCTTTGGGATGTGGTCGAACGAGAGATGTGCATCTTTAAATCAAATCTGCAGCAACTGTGTGATGCTATCATGACAATATGGAGCAAAATCTCTGAGGAATATTTCCAGTAGCTTGTTGAATCTACAACACCAAGGATTCAGGCAGTTCTGAAGGCAAAAGGGGTCCAACCCTGTACTACTGAGGTGTACCTAATAAAGTGGCCAGTGAGTGTATACATACAAAAACACACATACAGACAATTAAACAAAGCACACACATGCATACATATACAATGGTTTGGATATCTTTTATTCAATACAATATTTTGAATTTAATGTAAGAAACAGCTATATATGATAATTAAACATTTTGAACTATATAAACACAGGCCCGGCAGCACTGTGGCACAGTGGGGAGCACAATCGCCTCACAGCTCTCACATCACTGGTTCAAGTCTTGGCTGGGTCAGTTGGTGTTTCTGTGTGGAGTTTGCATGTTCTCCCCGTGTTGGTGTGGGTTTCCTCCGGGTGCTCCGGTTTCCCCCACAGTCCAAACACATGTGCTATAGGGGAATTGATCAACTAAACTGGCTGTAGTATATGAGTGTGTATGTAAATGGGTATGTATGGATGTTTCCCAGTGATGGGTTGCAGCTGAAAGGGCATCCGCTGCTTAGAACATATGCTAGATAAGTTGGCGGTTCATTCCGCTGTGGTGACCCCTGATTAATAAAGGGACTGAGCTGAAAAAATATTTATGAATCTCAATGCTGTAAATCTAGTTTATATCCATGTCATTATACAAGCCTTTGTCCTTGTAAACCACAGAAACCAGTGTAAGAACACACACACACACACACACACACACACACACACAGACACTTAATGAGAACACCCACACACACACACACAATTACACACGATTACATAAAACACACACACACTGATGATGTGGATGTCTGCTGAATTATCCCCTGCTGAACAGCTCATGTATATTTAACTGAACACACACACACACACACACACACACACGCACACAGTTCAGGCTTCTACCCATTCTGCAGAATAAATCATGTTTAGTAAAACTGAGTCAGAAATACTCACGCGTGAATACACCACCTCCAGCGAGACGTTCTGCGGCGGAGAGCTTGGCACTGTGGACACACACACAGACACGTGCGCGCACACACACACACAGTAACAAAAACATACGTACACACATCCACACAGACATATAAAATTAAAGAAAACATGTGCGCACACAGATACACACACACACACACACACACGATTAGAGTGGGTCACTAACAGTCCAGCACACAGTTAATCATTGTAGTGAATCGGTTCTTCTCCATCTCTGAAGCTGAAGAACTCAATCAATCTGTAAAGCAGCGATCAGATCAACAATCAATCACAGACACACACTGCAGGTCAGAGGTCAGAGGTCAGGGGTGTAGAGTCAGCCTCATATCTGATGTTCTCTGTTTATTACTGTGAAGCTGCCTGGACACTCTGAAATGAACAAACAAATTCAGCTGTTGTGCGATGATGACTTTCAATTGTTCGTTCATTCGTCCATTTGGTTGTTCATTAGTTCGTTCATTTGTTTATTTCTTTGTTCATTTGTTCCTCCGTTTGTTTGTTCGTTTGTGTATTCGTTCAATAGTTTATTTGTGTTTTTTTCATTCCTGTATTTGTTCGTTTGTTCGTTCATTTGTTTGTAAGTTTATTCATTCGTTTGTTCACTTGTTCATTCGTTTGTTTGTTTGTCCATTTGTTTGTTCATTCGTTCATTTGTTTGTTTGTTCGTTCATTTGTTCTTTTTTGTTCGGTTGTTCATTTGTTTGTCATTTGTTTATTTTTTTGTTTGTTCAGTTGTTTATTTGTTCGTTTATTCATTTGCTTGTTCGTTTCTTTGTTTATTTTTTTAATTGTTCATTTGTTTGTTAAGTTGTTTATTCAGTCGTTTGTTCATTTGTTTGTTTGTTTGTTCATTTATTTATTTGTTTGTTCGCTAATTTGTTTAGCTGTTTAGTCCTTTGTTTGTTCATTTATTTATTTTTTGTTCGCTCGGTTGTTCAGTTGTTTATTCCTTCGTTTGTTCATTTGTTTGTTTGTTCATTTGTTCATTCGTTTATTTTTATTCGCTTGTTTGTTCAGTTGTTTATTTGTTCGTTTGTTTGTTCATTCGTTTGTTCATTCGTTCATTTTTTGTTCGCTCGTTTGTTCAGTTGTTTATTCGTTCCTATGTTCATTCATTCATTTGTTTGTTCATTCATTCGTTTGTTAGTTCATTCATTTATTTGTTTGTTCATTCATTCCTTTGTTCACTTGTTTGTTCATTTGGATCTTCTCTTGCATTTTACTGGTTTTTGTTTTTAAAATATTTCAAAACATTTTCAAACAAAAGTGTGTGTGTGTGTGTGTGTTAGTGTTTAGTGTGTATGTAAGTCTTAAATGTGTGTGCATGTGTGTGTGTGTGAGTGTGTAGTGGATAAGTGTGTAATTTGTGCATATTTAACTTATAATGTGCATGTAAAATGCATTTAGTGCATTAGAGTTTAGTGTGTGTATTTGTGCCTGCTGTATAAGTGTTTAGTGTGTGTTTGTGTATATGTGACTGTGCGTGTGTTAGTCAGCGTTTAGAGTCTGTATATGCGTTTGTGTATAAGTGACTGTGATTGTGTGTGTGTGTGTGTGTGTGTGTGTGTGCGCAGTGTCATCACAGGATTTCATTAGCGTGACACGAGGGCCCTTAATTAAGCCGGCTGATGGTGAAGGAGCTCCAGCGGCTCGTTTGAGGCATTTCTCTAATAGAAGCTGACACATAATATATTCCTGCAGACACACACTCACACACTGAAGATAATGCAGAGAGACACACACCACACACACAGAGAGAGAGAGAGAGAGAGAGAGAGAGAGGGGGGGGGGCGAAGGAAAGAGAGAGAGCCTAATAAATATATACAGGGGTTGGAGAATGAGACCAAAAGGCTTAGTGTTAGAGTGCAGTAGTACATGCTGTAGCTCCTCCTCCTCAGTCCAGCATCAGCTGCTGTAGCTCCTCCTCCTCAGTCCAGCATCAGCTGCTGTAGTGAATGACAGACAGGAGTCCTGCACAGCAGTCAGAGGGATTGTGAGCTGTTCTTCTTCAGAATAGTGTTCAGGTCACTGCTGATGCTGCTGGAGGAAAACCTTTCCTGACTCGCTCCTCCTAAACACCCCAAAAGTGCTCAATAATGTTTAGATCTGGTACTGTGCAGGCCATGGGAGATGTTCAACTTCACTGTCATCTTCATCAGACCACTCTGTCTCCAGTCCTGCATTATCATCCTGATACACACCACCACCTTCAGGACACAATGTTTGACCCATTGGGTCACATGGTCCTCCAGAATGGTTGGGTAGTCTGTGGCAGTAATCCAGCACCCATCTAGCACCACTATTGGGCCTAGGGAATGCCATGAATGCCCAATGCCCAAACCATAAGTGACCCCCCACCCCCCCATGGTTGACTCTGGGCATCAGTAGTCTGGGTCGGCTGCTTCTTTGAGGCTTCTCCACACCGTAACTCTCCCGGATGTGGGAAAGACAGTGAAGGTGGACTCATCAGAGAACAGCACATGCTCCACATCGTCCACAGCTCCAGATCTCCACTGCTGCTCCACTGAAGCCGGCGTTTGGCATTGGCAGGAGTGAGCAGATGTTTGTCTCCATCAGTCGGTCATGTACATTGACAATGTGGAGCTCCAGAGCAGCAGTTCTGCTGGAAACAGGAGAGTGGAGCTGCACTAAGTCGGGCAGCTGTGCTCTGATGTGTTCTGGGTAAATCAGGGTTATCAACCGGATGTCCCCTTCAGACAGCTTCCTCTGGCCTCCACAGCTCCTCCTCCTAGATGTGCTTCTTCTTCTTCTTGGTGGTTTGCTGACATTACTCTAGACGCTGCAGCTCTCGATCATCACACACACTTGCTGTCTCGCTCACAGACACACAGCAGCACTCTGTCCTCTTCTGAACTCTGCTGTGTCCCCATAATGCAGTGTTGTGTGCAGTATTCTCAGCTGAACTGTGCTGTTCCTCTGCTGATGAAGCTTCACACTCGGCTCGACTGCTGGACACATTGTTTTATTGGCAATACACTGTCATGCAAATAGATCAAATTCAACTTCAACTTTACCAAGAGAGAGAGAGAGACTGAAAAAGAGAAAGAGAGAAAAAGAGACAGACTGAAAGAGAAATAGAAAGAGAGAGAGACACTGAGGGACTGAAAGAGAGAGAGACACACACAAACACACACACACACATGCGTGCGCAGGTTAAGCTGTGTCTGATTGCCGCTCGACATCTGCAGAAAATCAGCCCAGTATGAGACAAAGCAGCAGAGGAGTGCATGATGGGAATGGATTGTGGAGAACGCAGCGGGACTGAGCCGCATGTTAAAAAGATCCGTCGCATTCTCGCTCGCTCCGTCACACACTCGTCTCTCTTACACACACACTCATCTCTCTCTCTCCATCAGAGCAAACACTGCAGCTGAAGACCTGCCGGATGGATGAGACCACCGACACACAGCCCATAACCCACGATTAATGCCGATCATCAAGCTTTTAATAGAAGATCGCGCAAGAGGCTGCATTTATTTGATCAAACATATCAAATTAATTTAGATTTTAGATCATAGTTCAAAATAATAGAGCATATTAAAATAATATAGAATAAAATATTTTAATAATGTATTATAATGTTATTGTTATAGTTTATTATAAAATACAGATAAAAAAATATATATATATATATATATATATATATATATATAAAGTTGTGCAGCGCCACCTTGTGTTTCTGTGGTTTAGTAAGCACCTAAGTCAAAGACAAAAAATTATCAAATACAAAAAAACTTTGCGCAAGTAAACGCTAAGATTGTGGGAAGTTGTCACACACAAAAACGTAATTATAATAAATAATAAAAAAACAAAGTTGTGCATCGCCACCTTGAGTACGGGAGTATTTATGATTTCCATTAAGCGCCATCTAGTGTCAGAGAGGGATTTTGCATGTTCACATGGCTCATCGTCACTTAAAAAACACTCAAAAAAACAACTCATTAAGCGTCCCACTGTGTACGCGGCTCAAATGCATAAAATGTATTTACCTGCAAAATAAATAGTAGACAATGCCGCAAGTAGACGCTTAGATTGTGGATAGGAGGAAAAACGTAATTTCAAATGTAATTAAATATTTTTTAAGCTGTGCAGCGCCACCTTGTGTACTGGAATATTTATGCTGTTTGTTGAGCGCCATCTAGTGTGAGAGAGTGATTCTCAGCTCATCGTCATTAAAAAAACGCTAAATAAATCTTGAAAATGCTGTGCTAAACATCACAGTGCAAACGTTGATTTAAATCATAGCTCAAATAGTAGAGCATGCCACAAGTATCCAAACACAAAAAACGTAATTATAATAAATAATAAAAAACAAAGTTAAGCAGAGCCACCTTGTGTACTGGAGTATTTATGTTTATCATTAAGCGCCATCTAGTGTCAGAGAGGGATTTTGCATGTTCATGTAGCTCATATTCACTAAAAGACACTCAAAAAACATCTTTAAAAAAATGCTGTGATAAGTGTCCCAGTGTGTACGAGGCTCAGAAAGGCTGCATTTATTTAATCAAATACATTAAATCAATTCAGCTATAAATTAAATAGTAGACAACACCGCAAGTATATGCTGGCAGTCTCATGGTAGTCTACTGGATAAATTTGGGGACGTGGCCTGAGAACTTCATTATCATATTGAGATGCTTATTGGTTGTCTGAGTCAAATGAGCCAACCCCAATGTCTGTATATCACTGCTATGCATAGATATGCAAAGAGGCCTATTATAATGGCAGTCTACAGAATTAGTTATTAGGGGTGTTTAATTGGTTGGGGGCGTGGCTTGAAAGCTTCATTATCATATTGAGATGCTGATTGGTTGCTTGAGTAAAATGAGCCCACCCCCATGTCTATATGACACTCCTATGTGATGTTATTGATGTGTGACGTTTATAATGGGAGTCAATTGGGTGAATGGATTTCAATGGCCTGTGTTAAGTCAGTGGGAAACTTTGGGACGTCCTACCACCTCAGGGGTACAACTTATGTTCTTACACAGGCTGTGACCCTTTTAAGATGTTGTGAGTCTCATATTGCCACGAAATTCACACAACACCCTGTGGGGCCAACAAAACTCCTAAAAGTCATAGCTACATACCCCTGATAAAACCGCACGATTTGATGCCACTTTCAAGGGTCTCGGCCGAAAACTGCGGGACTAGTTACGTGCAAAAAAAATGCACAGAAAAAAAAGAATAATACGTATGGAGAATAACAAGTCAACTTTGCCTAAATGCAAACCCCACTAATAAAAAACAAAGTTGAGCAGCGCCACCTTGTGTACTGGAGTATTTATGTTTTCATTAAGCGCCACCTAGTGTCAGAGAGTGATTTTGCATGTTCACACGGCTTATCATCAGTGGAAAAACGCCCAAAAAACATTTAGAAAAATGCTGTGATAGGTGTCCCAGTGTGTATGAGGCTCAAAAAGGCTGCATTTCTTTAATCAAATACATAAAATGTATTTAGCTGTAAATTAAATAGTAGACAACGCCACAAATGAACAAGTAGATTGTGGGTAGGTGACAGGTGGAAAATAGCAATATAAAATATAATTTAATGTATTGTGTAAAGCTGTGCAGCGTCACCTGGTTTACTGGAGTATTTATGTTGCTCGTTAAGCGCCATCTAGTGTCCGAGAGGGATTTGCATGTTCACACGTTTCATCGTCAGTCAGTTAGTCAATTTAAAAAAATGCTGTGATCAAGTTCCCAGTGTGCACGAGGCTAAAAAAGGCTGCATGTATTTGATCAAAAACAAAAAAACGTTCCTGTTGCTGAAATAGTAGAGCATGTCGCAAGTAAATACTAAGATTGTAGGTAGTTTTATTCTGAATAAAAAAGTTGTGCAGCACCACCTGGTGTACTGGAGTATTTCTGTTTTTCGTTAAGTGCCATCTACTGTCCGAGAGTGGTTTTACACATTCGCTCTGCTAATCGACAGTGACAATTACTTAAGTATTAGTGTTAAAAAACATCAATAAAAACAAAACCCTAAAATATTGTGGTGTGTACAAGGCTCAAAAACAACATTCACAAGAAGAGTCTTCTGCTCATGAAGCTGCATTTATTTAATGATATAAAGCTAAAAAAATGCAGCTTGCTTAAATATTACAGCATGTCACAGGTAAACACTAAGATTGTGGGTTTGATTGTCTGTATGTTAGGATATAGTTTAATTGAAGTGAAGTGAATGTGAGAATAACGTCTGATGTAGATGATAAATCTAAAACCCTTCAGTTGTTGATCAGACAGTCATGCATGCGGCTCATTCTAAGTGAACTGAGGGAGGTTTTTGACCTTTGTTTTAAACACAAGCGCAGTCGGGCTGTTCTCAGATCAGCTGTTTGTCAGATGTCAGCTGTCATGGATGATTGACAGGCTGTGAAATTGATTGACACTTCAGAAGTGACGTGTGTGTGACAGGCGGATCAAAGGCATCATTAGTGTCCGTTAACAAGACTGCTCATATGAGTGTGCTCCTCAGTGATGGACACACACACACACACAAACAGCGCCGGTATTACAGTATAACTGAAATATGTGCTTTCAGCATCCACTGCTCATCTCTTATTAATATTGTTAAATAGTTAAAACTCATTGAGTATTTTTATAACAAGCAGCTTCACAGAACAATCAGATTGCTCTTGTTTATTATTATTAGTTTTAGGGGTTTTCACCTTTATTGGACAGGACAGTAGAGAGAATTGACAGGAAAGTGTGGAGAGCAGAGAGAGGGGAAGGATCAGCATTGGACCTCGAGGTGGGAATCAAACTCGGGTTGCTGTGAACACCAGAGTGCCTGTGTCGGTTCACTTTTCACTTCGCCATTGGCACTGACCAGAGTGTTCATTTTTAATCTTATTATTTTAGTTATATTAATTAGATAATAACTACTCTAGATGGATCAACTCTGAATTGTTAAGACCCCCTGTTATAGAGACGTTGAATGTAAAGAAGGTAATGTTAATGCTGAGTTATGTTCTTACCGTCTGAGAGCGTGGTGATGAGTGTGTCTTTATCCGAGACCCCGGGGCCGTGTCGGTTCACCGCCAGCACTCGCAAACTGTACTCAGTGAACTTCTTCAGTCCCTCCATCCTGTAGCTCTGACCCACCACCTCCACATTCTGAACAGCACACACACAAACAGCACAACATGAACATAAACAAACACCTCTCACATCAGCTGGAGGAGCCTTAGAATATAATAACTGCCAATGACATTACGTAAAGCTACAAAGCTGGAGAACGGGGAGGAGTCATGTTTAAGTCCCGCCTCAGAACACATTACCTAGCAATCACATTCTGACAAACACAAGCAGCATAATATCAACATAAACATCTCAAATCAGCTGGGGGGAGGAGTCATGCTCAAGCCCCACCTTAGAACACATTAACTACCAATCACATTCCATACAGTTAGGAACAGGAGAAGGGGGAGGAGCCATACAAAACCCCAGCCTTAAAACACATTAACTACCAATCACATTCCATACAGTTAAAAAGTTAGTGGAGGGGGAGGAGTCAAGATGAAACCCTAAAACACCTTAACCTTAAAACACCACACCTTAAAACACATTAACTACCAATTAGATTCTGACAACACACAAACAGAAACACAAACAGCATAATCTTAACAATCTTAACTTTTCTCAAATCAGCTGGAGGAGGAGGAGTTATGCTCAAGCCCCGCCTTAAAACACATTAACTACTAATCACATTCCATACAGGTAAAACTGGAGGATGAGGCGGAGTCATGCTCAAGCCCCGCCTAAAAACACATGAACTACCAATCACATTCCATACAGATGAAAACTGGAGGAGGGGGAGGAGTCATGCTCAAGCCCCGCCTTAAAACACATTAACTACCAATCACATTCCATACAGATAAAAACGGGAGGAGGGGGAGGAGTCATGCTCAAGCCCCGCCTTAAAACACATTAACTAGCAATCACATTCCACAGTTAAAAAGCTGGATGAGGGGGAGGAGTCACAGTAAAGCTTTGCCTCACAACACCTTAACTACCGAACACATTACATTCAAATAAAAGGCTGGAGGAGGGGGAGGAGTCACACTCAAGCCCAGCATCAGAACTCATTAACTTCCAATCACATTTCATTCAGTTAAAAACTAGAGGGAGAGGGGTTGTGCTCAATCCCCACTCTGAACAAACTAACCACCAATTACATTCCATACAGTTAAAAAGCTGGAGCAGGGGAGGAGCCAAGCACTGCCTCAGAACTCATTAACTGCCAATCACATGCCATACAGTTAAAAACGTAGTGGAGGGGGAGGAGTCACGATAAAGCCACGCCTTAAAACACATTAATCACCAATTGGATTCTGACAAAAACAGACCGCATAATATTAACAAAAATTTCTTAAATCAGCTAGAGGAGGAGGAGTCATGATCAAGCCCCGCCTTAAAACACATTAACTACCAATCACATTCCATACAGATAAAAACTGGAGGAGGGGGAAGAGTCATGCTTAAGCCCCACCTTAAAACACATGAACTACCAATCACATTGCATACAGATAAAAACTGGAGGAGGGGGAGGAGTCATGCTTAAGCCCCACCTTAAAACACATGAACTACCAATCACATTGCATACAGATAAAAACTGGAGGAGGGGGAGGAGTCATGTTCAAGCCCCGCCTTAAAACACATAAACTACCAATCACATTCCATATAGATAAAAACTGGAGGAGGGGGAGGAGTCATGCTCAAGCCCCGCCTTAAAACACATCAACTACCAATCACATTCCATACAGATAAAAACTGGAGGAGGTGGAGGAGTCATGCTCAAGCCCCGCCTTAAAACACAAACTACCAATCACATTCCATATAGATATAAACTGGAGGAGGGGGAGGAGTCATGCTCAAGCCCCGCCTTAAAACACATGAACTACCAATCACATTCCATACAGATAAAAACTGGAGGAGGGGGAGGAGTCATGCTCAAGCCCCGCCTTAAAACATATTAAGTATATACATATAAAAACTGGAGGGGGAGGGGTCATGCTCAAGTTCCGCCTTAAAACACATTATCTACCAATAACATTCCACAGTTAAAAAGCTGGATGAGGGGGAGGAGTCACAGTGAAGCCCCACCTCACAACACCTAACTTCCAAACACATTACATTCAAATAAAAGGCTGGAGGAGGGGGAGGAGTCACACTCAAGCCCCGCATCAGAACCCATTAACTACCTATCACATTCCATACAGTTAAAAACGTAGTGGAGGGGGAGGAGTCATGCTCAAGCCCCGCCTTTAAACACATTAACTACCATTCACATTGCATACAGTTAAGAAGCTGGAGGAAGAGGAGGAGTCACACTGAAGCCCAGCCTTAGAACACATGAACTACCAATCACATTGCACACAGTTACAATAATGAAAGCTGTTCATTTAGGCATATTTTATCAGTGTGTGTTTGTTCTTCAGTGTATTCTCTGTACTCAGCAGAAGAGAAACATGTAAAAGAGGACAGAATTCTGTGTTTTGGGTGTACTGTCTCTTTAAATGTAATAACTGCATCTAGATCAGTTCTGAAAACTCAATCTATGTCTCTTCTGTGAAGCGAGTCGATTGTACACTGCTGCCATCAACACACACTGCATGAGCTTCAGCACAGACATTTTACCACACTATTGGGTGTAAATGCACGCTTGTGCTCAGTCTGACCTCAGATCAGAGAATCAGGGTTTATGATCTGACCTGCTCTTTCCCGCTGGAGGTCTCAGTCCACAGCAGCCGGTAGCTCTGCACGGGGCCGTTTGCTGGAGCTGGAGGATCCCACGAGGCCTGGATTGAGGTCGGAGAAACCGCTTCAGCCTGGAGATTCTCCACCGGACCCGGAACTAAAACTACACACAGACACACAGACACACACACACACACACACACACACACACACACACACACACACACACACACACACACACACACACACACACAGACACACGTTTTTGTTTCAAGTCCAAATTTCTAAAAGCTCTTAAATCAAGAAACATTTTCTAGACTAGTAAACATATCGAGTCTCATTCACTAAACATGCAAATGCACAAATTTCTGTGTGAAATGTGCATACAGACGTTTTCACAAATAAATCTTGATTCAGCAAAACTTTCCTATTAGGAATGATTCTAAATGTACAAATAAATTCACACGTACACAATAATCAAGTACGCCCGGGGCCTTATAAACATGCAGAAAGTACCCCACATATAACTGGATGTTATTTACAGTGTGAATGAAAAGTAGCTAGATATTATATTATAGATGTTATATGATAACATTAGTAAGTTATTTGATATAGCACCCTTGAAACAAAACTTTCAAGTGATTTACACAATGAACGATGTGTGTGTGTTTTGTACTCACGCTCAGCCTGTGTGGACAGCCGTATGGCCTCTGAGCTCTCTCCGGGCCCCTGCTCATTGTATGCCAGAACCCTGAAGGAGTAGCTGGCCTCCGGGCGGAGATTACTGACCGTCAGCTGCAGACTCTCAGCCTCAGTCACATTTACTGACCGCTCCCTAAGACACACACACACGCACAGATACACATAGGTACACATGCAAAAACACTTGTTGTCAAGGGTATCCAAAAATCTAACTAAGAAATGAATTAATGCACAAACAAACAAATCGAACAGAGAAAAGAACAAATTAATAAACAAACAAACGAGCAGACAAATGATCAAACAAATGAACAAAAAACTTTTCTAACACAGTAGACCTTTTGAAATGCACCTTTTGACATGAACAAATGAACGAGCAAATGAATGAACAAACATGAACGAAAGAACTAAACAAACAAAACAAATGAGCGAAACGACTGAACAGACAAACAAACAACTTCTTAACATCTCTAATTTGGACTGTAAAGTAAAGCTGCTTAGAAATGATGATTATTGTGAAAGGTACTTTACAAATAAATTTGTATTTGTGAACTGAAATGAACAAACAAATATACAAACAAACAAATAAACAAAAGAGCAAACAAAAACACTAACAAACAAACAAACAAATGAACAAACAGATGAAGCAAATAAATGAACAACAAACAAACTAATGAAAAAGCGCAACAAATAAATAAACAAACAAACAAACAAATGAACGTATGAATAAACTAATCAAATAAACGAACAAACTGATGAACAAATTAAACACATAAATAAACAAACAAACAAACAAACAAATTAAACAAATAAATAACCAAGCAAACTAAGAAAACAAAAAATGAAACAAACAAAAGAATTAAACAAACAAATTAACAAATAAATAAACAAACAGACGAATAAACAAACAAACAAATGAAACAAATAAATGAACAAGCAAACTAAGAAAACAAAAAATGAAACAAATAAATAAACAAACAGATGAATAAACGAACGAACAAACAAACAAACAAATAAAACAAATAAATGAACAAACAAACAAACAAATTAATAAAATAAATGAACAAACAGACAAATACACGATCAAACTAACAAACAAATAAAACAAATAAATGAACGAACAAACAAACAAATAAAACAAATAAATGAACAAACAGACAAATAAGTAAACAAACAAACAAACAACTGAAACAATTAAATGAACACAAATAAAGAAAACAAACAAACAAATAAACAAATGAAAGAAAGAACAAGTGAAAAAACAAACCAACAAACAAATAAATGAAATAACAAACAAACGAAAATAATAAATGAACAAACAGACAAATAAACAAACAAACAAATGAAACAAAAAACTGAACAAACAGACAAATAAACAAACAAACAAACAAACAAATGAAACCAATAACTGAATAGACAAATAAACGAACAAACAAACAAACAAATGAAACAAATAACTGAACAAACAGACAAACAAACAAATGTAACAAATAAATGAACAAACAAACAAAGAAAACAAACAGACAAATGGACAAATGAAAGAAAGAACAAATGAAAGAACAAACCAAACCAACAAATGAAACAAATAAATGAACCATCAAATGGAACAAACAAACGAACAAAGGAATAAAACAAATTTTAAAAAATTACAATTAAAAGAAAGAATAAATGAAACAAACAAACAAACAAACAAATGAAACAAATAAATGAACAAAAAACAAACAAACAAAGACAAAATCAAATGAACTAACAATTGAACAAAAAACAAACAAAAAGAAACAAAAAAACAAACAAACAAAGGAAGAACAAGAAAAAGAACAAATGAAAGGAATGTACAAATTTTGTTTGAAATTTAGTTTAAACAAACAAACAAACAAACAAAAAATGAACAAAACGAAAAAACAAAATAGATGAAAACAAATAGATGGAACAAATAGATGAACAAACAAAAACAAAAAACAGGTTAACAAACGAATGAAAAATGAGCAAATAAAAGAAAGACTAAATGAAGAACAAATGAAAAACATAAACAAGTGAAA